AAAAGTGATGAACTAACTGAGCATGAGAAGACAGCAGCATTAGTTTCTACATTAATTACCCTGTTAACTAAGGTGCACTTTCAGTGACATGCCTGCCTGACACTCTTTGTTGTGCACATGGTATACAATTCATGCTCAAAAGGGAAGAGTTAGAACTCATTATCTATGATCATGAAAAACTCTTCATCTAAACCCTATAAGACCTGGCTCTTTAAACATTTTTGGTTGATGGCAGAGATGGTACATGTGGTCATGCACCATGATGGAGACTCGTAGCTCAATACCATTGTGATAATTTTCTTTCATTCACTCATTCATTCCACAAACATTAAAGACCAACTATGGACAATCCATTGTGCTAGGTGCTAAAAAAAATTGCAATGCTAAATTAGTCATGGTCCCCGAACTCAAAGAACTTATTATCTTCCATCCTGACATCAAGTTACTTACCCTCTTAATGCACTAAGAAGACTCGGGGGTAAAGCTCCAAAGCTGAGTGACTTTTCTTCTATAGGCTATGGCTTCCAGGGGTCCAGGCAAGACGGTGTTTCAGCAGCATCTTACCATTCCTCCCTCTCTCTCAGGTCCTTGCTTTCGTCAGCAATGACCTTTGAGAAGCCTTTGGTACAGCAGAATGAACATTACATTTAGAGTCAGAGGATCTGTGTTCAAATCATGATTCTGCTACTTACTACTGGTATGACTTTGGAAAAGTCATATACACTTTCTTGGCCTCACTTTCTTCCTCTGTAAAGTAAGGGCACTGGACTAGATGATTTTGAAGATTCCTTCTAGGTCTGTATCCATGATTACAGTTTTATGTCATCATAATTTCCTTATCTGATGGCTTTGTTTCAATCCGGATCCTATTTGTTCTCTCTATAGCATTTGCCACTGTTGACCTACCTCTACCTAGTTGTAGATACTCTATCCTCTATTGAGTTTAAAGACACACATTCCTCTTTTTTCTCCTAATTCTCTAACCTCTCTTCTGTTTATTTCTCTAGTACCTCACCCCTTAAAGTAGGTGTCTACGAAGGATCTGTCCTTAATCTTCTTCTCTCTATATACTCTTTACCTTAGCAATCACTCTCACTCTTAGGGATTTAACTATTGTTTCTATTGAGATAGTCCTCCAATGTATGTCTCAAGTTGACTTCTCTCCTAAGTTCCATAGCCACAACCCTGCCTCCCTATCAGATGTCTCTACCTGATTGTGACACCACAACTTAAAGCTCAACATCTCTCTCTCTCTCTCTCTCTCTCTCTCTCTCTCTCTCTCTCTCTCTCTCTCTCTCTCTCTCTCTCTCCCTCTCTCTCTCTCTCACACACACACACACACACACACGTAGAGAAACATATCAGTCGTATCCAACTCTCTGTGACCCCGTTTGGGGTTTTCTTGGCAAAGATCCTGAAGGGGTTTGCCATTTCCTCCTCCAGCTCATTTTACAGATGAAGAAACTGAGGCAAACAGGGTCACACAGCTAGTAAATGTCCGAAGCTGGATTTGAACTCATGAAGATGAGCCTTCCTGACTTCAGGCCCAGTGCTCTATTCACTGTACCACCTAGCTGTTCAACATGTCTAAAGATTAAGCTCATTATTCTGTATCCCAAGTAGGGAATAGAGAGCTAGTCCCACAGCTAGGAAGACATGGAATCGAGCTCCATGCTGACACAAATTTGCTGTGTGATTCTGAGCAAGTCCTTTGAGCTCTCACTGGTCAACTCACTAAAATTGTGAAGAATGTACTAATACGCCTTGGTAGAGGAAGTTTCCTTATCTGAAACACTAATTCAGTCTTTGGTTACAACCATTTACTCTTTCACCCTCTGATGCATCCTTAAAAATCATGCCAGACATTTTCCCCCATATATATTGATCTGGTCATATCATTTGCTCAAAAATCTTCAGTGGTCCCTTATTAATTACAAGTTCAGATTTGTATGGAATTCAAGCCCCTCTCTAACTTGGCTTTCCCAAACGTCTGGAGCCTAATCTCAGATTACTCCCTTATACGTATTCTATGCTTCCATCAAATTTGACCATTCTCCATTCCTGCCCCATCCCTGGGCATCCCTGCCCTGATGCCTTTTGTGCACATTATTCCCTTTACCTGGAGTGTCTCTCTCCACCTTCCTCATCTGTTGAATTCTTACTCATCCTTTAAAAGCTATAACAAATGATATTTTTTCCAAGAAGCTTTTCATCCCCTCCCGGAGGCCTTACAAAGCAAACTGTGACTTCCATCAGGGCAGGGATCCCATCTTATCTAGCCTTTGTATACCTACCAGAGTGTTCTGTACATAGTAGGTACTTAACAAATCTTTGCTAAATTGAATTCCTCACTGAATTGGTTGGGTTTTCCAGACTACATAAGTCATCATCCATTTTACCAATGAAAATTGATTGTTGGGGGCAGCTAGGTGGCGCAGTGGATAGAGCACCAGCCCTGAAGTCAGGAGGATGTGAGTCCAAATCCGGCATCAGACCAAACACTTGACACTTACTAGCTGTGTGACCCTGGGCAAGTCACTTAGACCCAATTGCCTTTAAAAAAAAAAAAGAAAGAAAATTTATTGTATATTTATTATATATAAAGTTCTATGTGGATATAGGTATGGTTTCTACCTTCAAAGAGCTTACATTTCTGTTGGTGGGATAAAGAATGTGTATAAGCTAGAAATAATCAAGTATGGGATGCATATGATTAAATGCCATTATAGTACAGGGGAAGAAAACTGTCTCTTGAATCAGGGGACCTGAGTTCAAACCTTACCTCTTCAACTTACTGTCTGTGTGACCTTGGGCAAATCACTTGCCTCCCTGAAACTCAGTTTGCTTATCTATAAAATGAGGTGTTTGAACTAGATGGTTTTGTTTTTCAGTTGTGTCCAACTCTTCATGATCCCATAGATTTCCGTCCATGGAGTTTTCTTGGCAAAGATACTGTAGTGGTTTGCCATTTCCTTTTCCAGCTCATTTGACAGATGAGGAAATTGAGGCAAACAGGATTATATGACTTGCCCAGGGTCACACAACTAGTAAATGTCTCAGGCCAGATTTGAATTCAGGAAAATGAGTTTTTCTGACTCCAGGTCAGGTACTGTATCAATCGCACCACCTAGCTGCAGGTAGAATTCCTCCAAATTAATTCTAGATATAGGTTGCTAGGATCATAAGTACCATATGAGGGTGGAGGAAGAACTTACTGACATGATCCAATGTACACTGTGCCTGGCATATGGTAAACACTTAATAAACATACTGACTGACTAAGTGATGGATTGGCCATAAGAACCTGGAGCTGGATCATGAAGAATGGTAGATTCTTATTTTCGGGGGGGGGGGGAGGTACTAAAGCTAGAAGAAGGTTTTGCACAAAGGGATACTGGCCAGATGCTTTGGAAAATTAATTAGCAAAGGTGGTCAGCTCCTGATGGAAGTCTGATCTTGAACAAAGCAATGTTTCAAGAGATTGGTGATTATTTCACTGACCTGGATGAGTGAACAGGACCATGCCATGATCATCTTTTCTGTAAAGACAAAACCACCTGCCCCCACTTCACTCTCTCCAAGTCAGAAGATCTGGTCCAGATGAGTAGCAGAATTATTTTCTGCATGTCGTCTAAATTCTTACCATCTCACATCAAATTCATTCTGTGGCTCATTTCTCCCTAGGCTAGATTTAAGCAGCACATCACTTTCTAAAACAAATTCAATTTATTTTATTCTCATTTAATGTATCCTTGAATTAAACAAATGCAAACAAGGGTAAGAGACCTGAGTGTAGAGAAAGAAAATGATGGAGGGAGTAGAGGATCCTTTGTCCATAAACCCGCACCTCTCAGCTAGCGAGGGGATCGAGACTTCAGAGGCTCAAAGAAGCTTTCATACCCTGAGACCGCTGCAAATTGTGCATCGCAGTGAAGGCAGCTGGTGGTTCCTGGATCCTTTGAGGATCTGCTTCCCACTGGAAATGGGAGGCTGCCCACTTGAATAGGATGGGGATTGTAATTGCTGGTTTGTCTGCAGCAGACTGACGTCAGCCTATCTGAGGAAGAATGTTGATTGCTTAATGATTATCACTGGCCAGCGTTTAGCTTCCATTAAAAGAGAAACCTTCCCCAGATCCTGCTTTTAGGGGCAGTCTGGCCCATTATCTTCTTTTTCATGATAATTTGTAGATGTCTCTGCTTGGTTCAAAGGGGGCTGCTATCGAAGGGCTCCAGTCATGATGATGTTTCAATAGAGCTGGTGCCACAGACTTCTAATTGCAGGGTCCATTTCCTGGAGAAAATTAATTCCTATTACATTTTATTGGGCAATGGGGGAAAGGGAGGAGGGAGCTGGAGTAGAATGACATTGCTATTCTGTTCCTGATTAACTTCTTTCTTTAAAAAAGAAAGAAAAGGACAAGAAGGAAGGAAAGAGAAAGGGAAGAGGGAGGAAGGAGGAGAGGAGGGAGGAGGAAAGGAAGGAAGGAAGGAAGGAAGGAAGAAAGAAAGAAAGAAAGAAAGAAAGAAAGAAAGAAAGAAAGAAAGAAAGAAAGAAAGAAAGAGAAAGGAAGAAAGGAAGAGAGAGAGAAAGAAAGAAAAAGAAAATAGAGATAGAAAGAAAAAGAAATAGAAAGACTCATGGTGCTTTATAATTCCTTTGATGAAGTAACTGGGGTGGAATAGGAGCTTAGTAAATGCTTGGTGAATAAATGAATGAATGAGGGGTTTTTGGTGTTTTTAGAATTTACTAATTTTTAAATCCAAAGTCCTCGGTTTGAGTGTTGTCTTTATTATTTATTCCCTATGTCACCTTTGACAAAGTCCCTTTCTTTGGGTCACAGTTTCATCCCCTATATTAACAAGTGAATGGACCAGATGAACACTAAGGTCCCTCTACCTGCTGCTTGTTTGTCCTGGTTACACAGGTGATGTGTCAGACCAGCTCTGAGAGGAACATTTGTCTTTCATTATAGATCCAGCTGGGGGAGCCCTAAGACATTTTGGCCAGAAAAACAAAGGTTTAGCATTTATTTCTCTCAGTCAGGAAAGTGAAAGAGAGAGACAGACAGAGGTAACTGCTGGAGCTCGGTGAAGGCCAAAAGTAAATGCAGGTAACATTTTCATGGCTAGTTACCCAGAGACACAGCATCAGTATTCACTCAGTGATTAATTACACAGGGCATACTTAGATACCCAAACTGCTTTGCTTCTTTCTACCTTCCATAAACTGCAAAAAGGAAAAAAAGATGGCGTCCTAGTACAGTGCGAAGATCTGGAGTCAGAGGACCTGCATTCCCGTGTGTCACCCCTGTTCACTATTTGCTGCCTGTGTGACCCTAGGTAAGTCACTTACCCTCTTCTGGTGTCAGTTTTCTTATCTGCATAGAAAAGGGATTGGAGCAGACGAGTGCTAAGCTCTCTTCCAACTCTAAATCAATAATGCTATGACATATAAGAATCACAGACCATGAAGTCCTCTGGAAGGGACTTTAGAACATAGACTATATGGTGGTAAAGTTGAAAGGCAGAAATATCACTAGCAGGAAAATGCTTACATGCAGGGGACACACTTCCTAACTTGAATGAGCTTCATTGTTTCCCACTTGTGGCAACCGTCATTCATGTACCTGAACTCCAAATCCTCTGCTGGGAGATATAGAAGGGACCTTAGTTTTCCAAGGCCAATTTCAATTTTTTACAATTGAAGAAACAAGAATCATTATTACATGAAATTTTCTCAATTGTCAATGACCAGGTCCTTAATAATAACTTTGTGTGACATCATGTTTGATTCTCTCTAGTAGTTATAGCAACCCTGGGTCACCATGAAATCTCAAGTCTTTTTTATTTCAAAAATCATTGATTTTAATACAAGACAAGTTTGAGTTCTTAAAGTGAATGACAACCCATTTTAAAATGCTTATTGTATTGAATATCCACAACCTTCTTCTTTATATTGATAATACGCAGTTACATGTAATAGATAAAGACCTACTAAGGCACATTTAGCAATAAACTGATCAAATTAGAGGGAGTATTTAGTTAAAGATGACATAGAGCCAAATGGGAAAGCAGAAATAGCTGTTCACATGTGGGACGCTTGAATGCCGAGTATTTAAAGCTCTTTTCAAAAGCTCTGGCTCTAACTTATCTTTCCAGCACCTCCCTCCCCTTCACACACTATACTGTCCAGTTATTTAGTCTCCTTTCTATTACCGACATGAAATCCTTCATCTCCCTTTCCTCCATTCCTGTTCCTTGGCAACATCCAATATGTGGAATGCGCACTCTCATGACATCCGTCTCTTAGAATCTTTTGTTTCTTTCCAGGCTGAGCTCAAGGACCACCTTCTACATGAAATGAAGCCTTTCCTGACTCTCCACCTGCTTGGGCATTTTCCCTCAATAGCTGTCTTTATATATTTAACTTATATTTTGTACAGAATGGTATATAGGTGTGTTCATTTTTCCTGGTAGAATGTAAGCTCCTTGAGGCCAGGGTCTATTTTGCTGTTGACTTTGCATCCCTAGAACCTAGCATAGTGGCTGGAATACAGTAGCCATTTAATAAATCCCTCTTGATGGATTATTTTTGCTTTATTTGGGGGCAGCAAAGTGTGATGTTGAACCTGCCATTTGTCACAAGGCAGATTGACACTACCATGACTGTAATGATGGGAGATATAGGAAAGGAAAACAGAGAACGAATTTCTTTGAAGCGCACGTGACTTAAAAATCACTACATTTTGTGAACGTCGGCGGGGAAGAAGTTGGATGGAGAGAGTCTACAGATGTGGGGAACCTGCTGCCTTACGGCCACATGTGGCCTTATAGATCCTTGGCTGTGGCCCTTTGACTGAGTCCAAGTTTTACAGAACAAATTGTTTTATTCAGGGGATTTGTTCTGTGAAGTTTGGATTCAAAGGGCCACACTTGAGGACCTAGAGGGCCACATGCGGCCTTGTGGCTTCAAGTTCCCCACCCCTAGAGCCCTAGAAAGTTTGAGTAGATAGTGAGTGGGAAAACAAGGCAGTCAGCATATACAGAAGAGAGAGACGGCCAGTGGTAGACAAACTGGAAAACTATTGCGACTTGGCTATTAATTGATCGAGGTATAATACAAGATGGGCTGTTCATGGAAGTCTGGGTCCAGGGCCCCTCATACACAACTTGGGAGGACATGCCAGCACGGAAGAAGAGTGGTGACAAGCTGCTACTTAGATTTATTCTTGTCTTGTTTATCTGAATCAGGTATTTTCTCAGGTCTCCCTAGGCTATTTTTAGAACGTGATCGTGTGGAGATTAGGAGTGGGGAGAGGGATTAAAGGTGAATACTATAAAGAAAGACTAGAAAGACAGGTTAGAACATGATCACAAGCTTTGAGGGCCACGTTCTGGAATTTAGATGCTATGGGCAACGTTGCATAGTGGATAAAGCACTAAAATTAGCATCAGGGAGACCTGGATTCTAAATCTACCTCACCAGCTATGTGACTCTGGACAAATTATTTGACCTTAGATGCTCAATTTCTTTGTCTATGAAATGAGAATAACAGTAATAGCACCAGTCTTCCAATTATAGTTAGGAACAAATGATGTGATGTATGTGTAAGAGAAGGCCTCTTAAGATTCTGAGGATTTTGATGTTTGAAAGTAGCAAAGACAAAATCCAAAGTGAAATTTGCATATTAAAAACATTAAGAAAAAAGCCACAGACATAATGTGCTTGGCCAAGGCAAAATCTATTTTAATGTTCTCTGTTACAGTTGCTTATTTACATAGAAGTGACTAGAGAATGCTGATATTAATAACTGAAGAGTTTTGAGTCCCAGAACTATTTTGCAGTTATTGCACAAGTATATGTTGCCTAGTTATGGCTTAACCAACAGAGACAAGGATCTAGTTATTCACCACAAACTGGAGCCAAGTTTCTTACTGTGAACACTTGTTTCTGAAGCAGGAAAATTTAGACAAAGGAAAAACCTCAGAACCGTGTGAAGGCGACACTGCACCTCTTCCATATGCTGCCTGAAGAAGTGATTGATGGAACTTCTAACTTTCCTGCCACCTGCAACCTGGAAAGCAGAGAAGATAAAGAAGAAAGGATATACCTGTTTCAACTGCTACTTACTCCCTTGGGAAATAGAGGAAAATTCAGAGGCCAGGCAAGGGATCTAAACTAGATGAGCTCCTGTCCATTCTAGGCTAACTAGGCCGACTGCACTCTCTTTTTCAGAAAGCATAACTTGATTTCAGCTGAAAGCATCAGCTGGCTCTGAAATCGGAAACGACGGGAGTTTCACCTGCCCTTGAGGAGCAAGCCCAAGAAAGGAGGAATGGTCTAGGTTAGTAGTAGGGTAGCAGAAAAACAATCCACCACACTGTCCCATCTAGCTAAGATACTGTGCCCTATGAGGCATTAGTCCTAAACAGCCATGGAGAAAGCCAGCTCAGTGGTGGGGCCACCCATTCAACACAGATGCCACAAACATTGGAGAGCTTTGTGGTGAGGACAGTGTCCAAGAAAGCAAAAGATTGAAGCCCACAGATCCAGAGTTGTGAATTGCCCTCACCCCATTTGTTTCTCACACATCTGCCTCACCACCATTATGCTCTGGTTGTGCCCACTCTCCCCCAGAGGGCTCATTTGTAGATGTGACAGAGTACAGATAAGGTTCTTTTCAAACCTTAAAGTAAACATGAGTAGCTATACAAATGCTAGCTATTGTCTTTGTTACTATTCTTATGGGTGAAATGATATGTAATTCTTATTATTAATTTTCATCTTAAACACTGCATTCAATGAAGAGTTAATTGAATCAAATGACTGACTTGTTAATGTGAATTTCACTGGTGAAGACTCAGGAGTTAAAGTGTTGTTAGCAGGAACAGCCAACCAAAAAGGTGGGGGGACGCTGTAGCCAGCTTCAGCCATCTCTGGAAACTGTGTTAAATTTTCAGCATAAGCATTTTACGTGTCAGAAATCGGCACAAGCTACAAATTGGGTTTTGATTTATTGTTTTGTTGATTGTCTAGATTCACGAAAGTGATGGAGAAAATGTTAACAAGACAGAGTAAAATTAAAAGTATGTGATATAGATGGGCAAACAGATTTTTTCCCCAGAGAGCCAGTTGTTAAATATTTTACCAACACACCCCTGCACAAAGCTTAGCTCTAGAATCATGAGGGTAGCAATCATAGCAGCCAACCTGGCAGAGTGAAGGCATATTAATTGTCAATGAACTTGGGGGGCAAGGATATCAGATCTGTGCTGCATATGTACTCTACTGGAAAGAATGAAAGCAAAGAAGTCTGTTAGACTGCTACAATAATAAGTACAATGGAAACTCAGGGAGACTAGGAACCATTTCACTTTCGTCTCTGTATTCTCAGAGTACAGCACAGCACTTGGCACCCAGTATAGGTATTTAATCAATGCTTGTTAAAATGAAATGTAAAAGATAATGAGGGTGGTGTCAGTGGGAATAAGGAGAATGGAGCCAGATGCAAGAGATAATACAAAGGTAGAATTCATAGTGCTTAGCAACTGATTGGTTATGGCATTCTCAACCTGGGTTACTGTTTACTACAGCCTTGGTTATTATAGTATTTCCGTGCATCGTTTTATGATGGGGCATATGGTTGTGTTAATAAATGCCATAAAATAAAGTCAAACCTCATGGCTGTGAAATCCTTGCTTTGCGATGGGATGGGAATTAAATCGCATCACTTACTCCGTAGCTTGGTCACAGACAGGAAAACAATCAGGAGAGTGATGCGGATTGTGGAAAACCAAAATGCTGCTCTTCAGGTCATAGGAACCATTCACAAAACCTAGGGAAGAATGTCAGGAGAAATCTGGGGTTTGGACTTTGTCAACAGACTATGCATTACCTTCTCTGTGATCTGCCAACCATCGAGGCAATTCATCCTAATTAGCCAGATCTGGGCAATGAGCTTGGAACAATTGTAAGTTAATGTGAGGAATAATGGGCATAAATGAATTATGAAATATAGAGAGATCCTAAGTGTCTTCAGGATTAAACAGCTAACATTGCCTTTGTAAGTTAGCAAGATACCACCGTTTCTTAGATAGAAGCAGTGGAATAGGAGTTGGAGTTGGAAGTCATGAAACCCGGTTCAAATTCTGTTTCTTCTACTTACTACCTAGGGAAAAAACAAGTGACAAACCAAAACAAAATGAAACAAAACAAACAAACAAACAAACAAACAAAAACGCTCTCCTGACTGTCAGTGTTCTTATCTGTAAAATGAGCATATTGTGTCCCAGAACCTCGACGATCCCTTCCAGCCCTGATTTTCTGTTATCAATGTTCTTTGGTCTCTTCAGGAGGCAGCTAGGTTGCTCAGTGGATAGAGTGCTGGGCTTGGAGTCAGGAAGACCTGAGTTCAAATTTGGCCTCAGACATTTACTAGTTGTGTCACCCTGGGCAAGTCACTTAACCTCAACCTTAATCTAATGGTGAAGGCAATGGCAAGCCATTCCAGTATCTTTGCCAAGAAATCCCTATGGCCAGTATTGGCATGGTATGATCCATGGGATCATGAAGAATAGAAATACTGAACAACAAGAACAAATGGAACCTGCAGGCTTTCACGCTCTAAAGGGTCCCCTCCAGCTCTAAGTTCTCTAAGTCCCTTCCCTGAGGGAACAAGGCTCTGCCTGGGCAATCCACAGTGACCACGGAAGGAGAGGCACTATTCAGCCCCCTCACGTGGCTTTGAGCCCAGGAACAAGCAGCATGCTCACCTGCTCTTCGGTGCCCAAGGAAGTATATTATCCAACCAGTGAGAATGGCTTATATTTTTTAAGCAACGATATAGTGTTCTAAGGATTTTAAAAGCAGAAGGAACCTTGGAGATAAAGGACTTCAAAGAAAAGGCTGGCCCATAGCATCCATCCACCTTACAGAAAGAGAACTGAAGCCAGAGAGAGGAGGTGAATTACCCAGGGTCACACAGGTAGGACTTGAGAGAGCTGAGATTGGAACCCAGGTCCTCCAACTGCAGATAGAGTGTATATTTAATTCATAATAACAAATACTGATATAACAAAACGAGGAATATATAATTACTATTAGCACTATCATTCATGTAGCTCTTTAAGGCTTACACAGCTCTGCATTTTATTTCATTTAATCCTCACAACAACCTCATGAGATAAGTTCTGTTATTATTCCTATTTTGAGTTGGGAAACCATTCCAATCCAATGTGTATTCCACTGCAACACAACGCTTGTAGGGCTCTGCTGAATGTCACGTTCATCCCAGTCTGCTTCTCAGCTAATTACACATTATTCCTCTTTATACTCTGCGTTCCCTGAACTCTGTGGTCTATTCTTTCCTCTGTACCTTTGCCCAGACCTAGAATATCCTCCTTCCTCACCTTCATGTCCAAGAACACCAAATACTAGCACACTTCCTGCCACATAGTAAGGGCTTAATAAATGCTTCCTGGACTGAATTGAATTTCTGCCCTCCAACTGCTTTCATTGTGATGTTATGGAGAATTCGAGGACTCGAGTCTATAAAGGTGGAAGTCCTCAGAGAGAAGAGCAATATGATTTCATTTGGTTCACATCTGGAAGAAAATTTAAAAATCACCCAGCTCATCCTCTTTATTTTACAGAAGAAGAAACTGAAGGTCAAAGAGGATGAATGACTTGCACAAAATCACAGGACTTAGTAAAAGTGCAGAAACAAAGCCAGTCAGAAGGGGCTTTAGAGAAATAGAAGGGACCTTGGAGAAATAACTATAAAACTAAATAACTAAATAACTTATAGAGGGGGGAAATGGGCCCAGAGAGGGTTAACTGTTGTGCCCAACATC